TAGTAGTAGTAGTAGTAGTACTACCAACAAGACTTAAAGATTGATCCAACGCTCGGCAAGACCGGGACCTTCTCCAGAGGTCTGGAGGTGGTCATTGGCCCAACCTACTGAAAGGTTTCAACCTTAAAATGAACATCGGCAGAAAGCATGCCTTCGCAATGCAAGCTAGGTCTTCGGTCCGGGACGAGCATCCAAGGCCGCTTGAACAGTAAGCCCTTGTGCCCCGTGATATCGGCAGCTGGTGTCTGAGCCGCCCCCTTTGTTCAAACTGCTGTTTATCCGGATGCTCCCACCAGGATTTGCCCGATCTGGGTCGGTTGTTTAGGGAGAGGGCATGGATGACTCTGCCAAGGCGTAGCAAGATAATTGAAACGTGAGCGCTTGCACAGATTGGGCCATTGTACAAGGCAATCTTATGCGCCCCACAGAGCCCATTATACCGTGCAATGTAGAAGGCTTCGCAACAATAGGAGGTCCTGCCGCAAAGGATCTAAATACACGACCGAAGACCTGGAAATAGCCTGAAGGGAGGCAAATGTATACTCACCGCATGCTCTTGCCAGAACGATACATGCACAACTTGGCGCCAGGAGACAGGAGCTTGACGCCTTTGGCGCAGCCCCGCAATCCATCTGCACGAAAGATCACATCAATATAAAGCTGCCGAGTTCAACTCGGTAATTGTGCCAAACAGAGAAGATTTGACATCCTCTGAATGTCGACTGCGACTGGCTTTTTTCTTCCTTCAGAGTTCCTGCATTCTGTCGCGAGCCGTCCCAGGCATGCCCGAAAACGGTAGAAGGCAAAGATTCAAGGCGGCCTCCTCTCACACAGAGTCGGAGATAGGCTTGCATGAATCCTCGGTGCCGACTTCTTGGAAATCCGAAGCATGTGAGGTTCACTGGCAATTCTTCTGCTACCCTGCAGCAGAGCCTCATGTGAGCACATCGGCTTCGAATTCCGACCTCATGGCACACGGAAGAGTAGGAGCCGGAGGAGCTTTCTTCGCGCAGCTCATGCAAGGGTCTGTGTGTCCAAAAAATGAAGCTGAAGACCTGTGGTGTGTCAGCATCTGAGGGAGCTGAATTATCTTGCCTGTGAGGCAGGGGCCAACTTGGTTGAGGCATTCCGTCAGCTAAAAAGGGGAAGTTGCAGAGTTCCCGTCGCGATTCAAGAAGCCTTACCTTTGATCACTGCAAAATAAAATTTCAGTAGTAGGCATCATTTTCCGGCACAGAACAGCACCCCGGGCTCAGGCAGGTGAAGAAACGACCGGGAGGCAACCCAATATCCAGCCGCGGTTCCCCTGCTCGGCACACGTCGCGTCGGGACAGCGTGAACATGTATGAGAAGACGGTGGCGAGCAGGTTGATTGACGATGGCGACGGTGAAAGAACGACGATGAGAACTGTGGTTGTGATGGTGGTGATGATGATGATGGTGGTGATGATGATGATGGTGGTGATGATGATGATGGTGGTGATGATGATGCTGATGGTTATGGTGATGGTGATGGTGGTGATGGTGATTGATGATGATGGTTGTGGTGCTGCCGGATCGCACCTGTGGGGGCTTCCCGGGTTTATAAGCACGGGCATGGGTGTTCAACAGCAGGCAGATACAGGCAGCCTCATCGAGCTGAGGCAGCAGGTTGTCGAGTTATGCTTCCAAGGCGAAAACATGAGCCAGAACCCTGCATTCGTGGCGTTTGTGGTAGTGAGTGCGCAGTTGTGGCTGCGATGCGGCTGACGACCCCTACTCCCACTGCCACTACCATTGCTACTTCTACTGCTTCTGCTACTACCGCTGCTGCTGCTGCTCCTGTTACTGCTACTGCTATTACTACACTACTACCACGAATAATAATAACAATAACAATAATAATGGTAATAATAGTACTAGTAATAATAGTAGTAATAATAATAACAATAATAGTAGTAATGATAATAATAATACTCAAAATCACAATTTTAATCATAAAAATAATACTAATGATAATGCTACTGCTACCCGAGTATTGGGAGTCATCGTTGGCGCAGTAGGCAGCAGAAAAAAAAAAAAAAACAGCAACAGCAGCAGCAGCAGCAGCAGCAGCAGCTGCACCAACAGACGTTGCGGTAATGGCAATTCGTGATACTGCTGCTGCGTGGAAGAACTGCTTTTGCTCATGGCTCTCGTCGTCAGATCAGAACCAGAAGTGTTACCGTTCTTGCTGTTGTCACCGGTGATCTCATGTAATTTCCGCTGTCTGCACAGACCGGCTGCCTCGGCGTGGCATACTGTGACGTGGAATTAGGTTCCAGAATCTCGCCGAGGAAGTTGCAGAGCTCACCTTGGTCTTCAGATCTACAAATCTACAGCATTCCCACCAGCTGAGGAGCAAAAAGTGTCTGTTGACCATGCTGGGCACAGGTCATACGATAGCACGTATGCAGGGCAAGCATGGTACTGACCTGAGCGGCAACTCAGCTCGAGACCCAGACCCTACAGCTGTCAACTATCGTACCTCAACCCTCGACGCGGGTGGTGGTTCTGAAGCACGTGCAAGACACGAAAGCAACGTGTGAAGACTATGCTATGTGGGCGGAAGTTGTCAGTTCCAAATTCAAGCCATCGGGCGAGAGACTCGGCGTCAGAAGGGTTTGACAGCGTGCGGCGATACCGCTTCGAGGTTTTCGCGTCCGAATTCAGCACGCGAGGATCAGAGCAACGAGACCTACAAACTCGAGATTTGGAAGAGGTGGAAGGCTCCCCGACAGGATGACGAATCCGAATTCATTGCTGCCCAGCCACAAACCAAGGTCTCGACTTGATGGAACTCCTCAGACAAGAACTTGCGGAGCTCGACAATATCCTTGCAGGCTCCAGGGGCGGCAGCCTGTTGAAATGAACAACATCGTTCTACTGCTGCAAACGCAAGCAGCAAGCAGCAGCGATATCATGCCAACGTAAACCGATGTCGGGACGATACAGGTGGGCTTCCAGTACTATTTACTTAGTCCTCTAGATTCAACCAAACACCCCGAACCTTTGACCCCAAGCCCTGCAGCCTAGTCAACCCAAGACGCTGAACCGTCCACCTGTAGAGAACCCTGATATCTCCAAACAGTAATCCAGCATGACGACAAAGACCACCACGACCAGCAGCACTACCACGAGGACGACCACAGCCACCACGACCAACATACCAGGAGACCAACAGTAAACCACGGCGAGACTACATGGGTTTACTGGCAGTCATGCAGGCGGTGAAGATACAGCTGTTCAGAATAGAAACAGTGCCAACAAGCTAGAACAGTAAGGTTTTTAATCTAGTCGAACTAGTAGTACCAGTTCGTTACTCTGACTGCATGGGCATTAGCCGTTAGCTTCAAAATAAGGATCCAAAGAGCAAAAACACAGACCGGAGATTCGACGCGGGACGGGCCCACGCTCTCGAACGGGAAAAACTTGAGAACCCCTTAACACGACAATTGGTGGGCTTCATGAACGAAGCACCTCCCACTGGTGTACTTGGCTTCGGTGCAACTTCTTGCTGCCAAATCTCCTTCACTGTGGTCTTGTTCGAGCCACGAAGCGTTAGCATAGCTTGCCTGGTGTCACACACTCAGCCACTGTCCATGCCTTGCCTCGGGAGCCTGCAAACCCGCAAATCCCGTCGAGCGGCGAACAAGCCCTAACAAGGAAAGGCCAGAGACGGAGACAAGACAGCAACAGAAACCCGAAAGCAAGGACGGGAGCAACAATCAAGTCTCAAGGTGAAAACGGCTGTCTGGTAGAAACGAGATCAGGAAACATTCCACAGATGTCGCAACAAACAGCCGCAGTGCGACTTGAGGGAAAGCACCCGAAAACTGTCCAAAAGCAAACTCAGACCAGCGGCAAACAGAGAGGGTGGAACCCACGATATGTTTTTTTCAATTCCCTCAATCGAAGTCGTTGACCCTGAGGCCTCTGGTGCATTCGTTGATCCGATACCGGTGACCCCTGCCCCCCTCTCACGAAAAATGATGCTTCCTTCCAAGCGGCATGAAATCCACGAATGATGCCTTCTCACCATCCTCGAAAAGCAGCCTGCCGTAGTCGTAAGCAGCCGACACATCCTGAGTTAGCCCAGCTGTGCCGGAGAAGATGCAAACGTTTCATAGGACGGAATGATCACTGTGTTGACTATTGCAACAGGTATTTGCAGCTTATGCAGATATGTACATCTACATATACACCCACATCCATATCTACATGTGCGCAGTTAAGCAGTACCCCCCCCCCCCCAGAATCCACGCCTTTGCGACAGCAGGTGCGGAGTTCAGGTTTTTGGATCTGGAAAATATCGGCGTTATCTGCACGTCAACTTTTCCTTGCAACTATTTCTACATGGCCCGTGACACGTGGATGCACCTGAAATTCCACACTAGAAATGCTTGGGTTGTTACTGTCTGGCCTGTCTACCGATTTGTTCTGATCTGCCAGTAGCAAACTACGGTTTCGGAAACATAAGAACTCCGTTACACAACAATGCGTTTGGTCATAGTTAAACTGTACGTCCAGGTCTTCATTTACATCTTAAACCAGGCCTGAAGCCTTAAAACATAAATGGAAGGGCCGTTCTTTCCTCAATAATTAAGAAACAATGGGACGCCTTCCGCAAAACAAAAAAAAATAAACACTGGTTCCAAGATCTTCCCAATCTCCAAACATTCCCAACACAACCAAAACAGGAAACTTTGGAATAATCATATTCCTCGAGCCAGTCTCAAACAACAACCAACAACCCCAAAGATTCCTAAAACATAAAAGCCTTTTTCTCAGAAAAGAGACACCCCATGTCAGCACATTCATCGAACTCGTCCCGACCAAAAAAAACAAACAACAACTCATCTTCCAAGGTCTTCTAGAAGCAAGAAGTCACGGAATGAGAGAACTACTGGTAGCGCAGAAGAGTCTGTCGAGTATGCGCATTTGCGCTTCCGGTCTTGCTGGGCTGGGATGGGACGGGATGGGATGGGATTGGATGGATGGATGGATGGATAGATGTACACATGTATGCATGTATGGATGTATGCATGTATGTATGGCATGGTATGGTATGGTTTGTTATGGTTTGGCGCGGTTTGGTATGGTTTGGTATGGTTTGGTATGGTACTGCGGCAGGACGAAAGTTCGTCGCACTCTCTCTTGAACACGGTGCAAACCCCTTTTTCCCGCAGACTCCTCCACCAAGTCCTCCGTCCGGAACATTATATAGTAGTGCAATTTTATTCCGGTGAATTAATTCCTCCGCCAGCCAGGCCATGTAAATTGCACTTAAAAATACTCCGCGCCCTCCGCAAGATGGTGTAGCCAAGTGCGACCAAACTTTAATCCTAATGATGTATGGTATGGTATGGTATGGTATGGTATGGTATGGTATGGTACGGTACGGTACGGTATGCATGTATGCAGGTACGCCTATGACGGCATATGTGCCATTCCCGCGATGTTGGCTGTTGCATACGACGATCCAAGAGCCAGTCCCAGGAAGCAAAACCAAGAACCCAACCGTCCCTCGAGACGGCCTTCCCATCCGATGCATGCATGTAAATGTGTAGAGTGTATGTACATGTATTTGTACATGTTTACATAAATTGTATACTTGTAGAAATCTTATAAATAGAGAAAGAGACATACGTGAGGTTCATACTGGTCATATTGCTCATATGTGCTCGAACTTATCTCTCTCCCGATTGCTGCGATTCCGATTGCTCCGACTCTTCCTTTTCTTCATCTTGCCGAACGTGCTCATGTGTTTCGCCATGTTCGCAAATGCTACCTGAAGCCCGAAACCCTAAACCCTAAGACCCTAAAAGACCCTGAGACCCTAAGACCCTGAGACTCTGAGACCCTAGGACCGAAACACCCTAACGCCTTCAGACCCCCAAACCCTAAAGCCCAAAATTCTAAACCCTACGACTCACCTCAGCTTCCTAAGTTGCGCCGAAGCTCCACACCCAGGCTCATCAAGGCTCGGGCAGCCTTCGGCTTCTTCAAGAGATTCACGAACTCCTCGCTTCACGATAGAGCCGGTAGGGCTTAGGGGTTTAGGGCTTAGGGCTTAGAGTTTAGGGCTGGGGGTTTAGGGAGGCTGAGACTTGTATTTAGAAAAAAGGGCTCTTTGATTTCGACTGTATAGGCTTCACTTTCTGTTGGGCAAGGCCCCGGCCTTCTCTGAGAGTAAGTTGTCCCCATCCTCATCTCCCTCCTTGTCGATGAGCTCCCACAGAACCTGATCGGCAAAAGGGATCCCAAGACAAACGAAACATGTAGGCCACGTGCGATTCACTGCGGTCGAAGAGCTTTTCTGGCAAAGTCGGCATCCAGCTGCTCTCGCTCGATCGTCGAAACCGTTTTCACGGCCTCTACCAGGACGCCCAACAGCATGTTCATCACCTCAAGAAGATGACAGAAGCATGCAGAAGCTAAGCTTGCAAGCACAAAGGCTCTCAAGCTACAGTGTCTCACGCAGAAGGAAATCAATTGAGAAACTTGTGCGACAGTGTCAGGGAGGTACTCGAGAACAATTGATCCTGACCCTGTATGATCGGTGGCCGTGGTGCTGCTGTTTACGGTGGCCGATGCGGCGGTGGTGGCGGTGGCCGTGGTGGTGGCGGCGCCGGTGACAGCGGCGGTGACAGTGGGGGCTTGCGTTGGCGACGGGGTGGTAGTGGTGATGATGGTGCCGGCGGTCGCGGTGATGATGGTAACGCTGCTCGGAGCCACTCTTGATGCTACGGGTCGGAGTGTCGAGGCGATGGCGGGACAAACGACAACTAGCGGTGATCTTGATGAGCATTCCTGTCTAACGACCCTTTCACCTTGCCGCCCTGCCATGGCAGCAGCTTGTGACAGTGCCTTGCTTTTCCCCAAACAGTAAGCTCCTGACCGTTAAGGATCCAAGTAGAATAAACAGCAATAGAAGCGCTGCCAGCGGCCAACTCTCTGAGGAGATGATGTTGATGAAGACCTGGCCGACAAGACACAGACGCCTCTAGAATTCAAAAGCCCTTCTTCCTGGAGGTCACGGCAATGTCCATGCTTGCAACACTGGCTGATCAGCGATCACAGATCGCGTGCCAGTTCGGAAGCAAACGCTTGAGCTGGGCCTCCTGATCTGGAAGCACACATCTCAAGATCCTCGGGAACACGGACCCTTTTGTGCCACCATATCTCCAACATTATGTCATTGAAGATCAAACCGATATGGCGATATGGAGTTGCTGAGCCAAGCATCAGCGTCATGATAGAAGTGCCCATAGAAGAGAAATACTCATTTTCCAAGTTTGGGTGGCCACGGCTGAACTCGATGAAGGTGATGCTGAAGACGAAAGTGATAAGGAGCAGCAGGACCAGTGTAAAGAAGACGGAACGGCAGGCCACCAGCATGCCCTTCACGAGGATCATCAGCTCGGGCATCAGCTTCACTAGACGAGCCTAGGAGCAGGAGGAGCGATGCATGCAAAACACTCTGCGGCTTGCTCCGACCTTGCCAAGAGTTCTGACTTCATTTACGGAATGACGGCGTTCCAGCAGCCGCTAAAATCACGTGCCAAACAGAGTAGAACTTAGGCTGGTCTTTGACGAGGTCCTAAACATAATGATGTCCAGTGGAGAGTCATCGTCCTGGCACGACCAGGACCACAAGCACGACAAGACTAGTAATACTGGTACGTAGTCGTATAACAAGCAGAAAGCGCCGGTACCGAGAATGGATTCGAGCAGCAAATGCTGTGTCAAGTAGCCAAGTCCAGATTCAGTACACTCTTGACTGCCGAAAGGGGTCAAAGCAGGAACAATCATACCAACAGTGAAAGCACGATGATGGCAATGGTGAGAGCACGGGTCAGCTGCACAAGATGCTAGATCGCTGACAAGGTCTTTTGCAGCTGAGAGGCCATGCGCGCCTGAACAAGTGGCGGGACAAGTAAATTCACATGTTCGTTTCTGTTTGATTGGTGTGTTCGGGTGACCGGTATCGGCGAAGTGCACAATGTGTCATGGGTGGGTTGAAGTACAGTCGAATGTGCATGCGCGTGTAGTAATCAGTCGCAGAAGCGACCATCGCTTTGTCCTGAAATTTTGTGGTTCCCGACATTTGCCATGAAAAAGTTCAAGTAACTCTAGCAATCGCGAAATGCGTGTTCCTGTCACTGTACTCGGCATGAATTCACTCCGAGACCTGCCAGGCCAGCAGGTAAGATCTTAGCTGGCGGAAGCCTTTTGCGATCCAACGGCACCTCGTGCGTTTGTTTGCGGGTCCCTCCAGGATGGTAGAGAGGTGCAAGAAACGGGCTGTCTGTCATCGGCGCATGCTGGTATCTGCGCGGGCTTATCTGACACTTGCGCGAACAACCCACTTTCGACCACTGCAGCAGTTGCTCTGACCTGTCTTGTTGCAGGGCAATGTGACATGAGGGCCGATCCCATGTTGGTACCTGCTCATGGCGCTGTAGCCACGACGCAAAAGAGACAGGACTCGCATGTCTGCACGCTGCAGCAGGGGGGCATGTTGAAAATCAGCACGCACATGGTGGTGGTGGGGGTGGTGGTGATGATGATGAGAAGAAGAAGGTGATGATGATGATGATGATGATGATCATGATGATGATGATGAAGATGGCGACGACGATGATGATGATGGTGGCGATAATAATAATAATGATAATAATGATGACGATGATGATGATGATGACTGTGATGGTGAAGGTGATGACGATGATGATGATGGTGATGATGATGATGATGATGATGCTGAGGGTGATGCTGATGCTGATGCTGGTGCTGGTGATGGTCATGAAATTAAATTCTGCTGCTGCTGCTGCTCATCATCATTATGATGATTGTGATATGGATGAGGGTGATGAGGAGGATGAGGATGAGGATGACGGTGGTGGCGATGATGATTGTGACGATGGTGGAGAGGATGAGCATGAGGACGAGGATGACGATGATAAGGAGGAGGAGGAGGCGGAGGAGAATGATGATGACGACAACGATGATGATGATGATGATGATGAACATTCTAATGTTACTGCGGATTTGCGTTGTGCTGAAGACGATGGTAATACCAGACGTTACCAAGTGGTAGTTGATGGCGGTGGAGGCGCCGGTGCTGGTGCCATTGCTGCTGGCGTTGGTCGTGCTGGTGCTGGTGGAGGAGGAAGTAGTGATGGTGCTGGCGCTCGTGCTGCTGGTGGTGGTGGTGGTGGGTGGGTGGTGGGTGGTGGGTGGTGGGTGTGGTGGGTGTGGTGGGTGTGGTGGGTGCGGTGGTGGTGGTGGTGGTGGTGGTGGCGGCGGCGGCGGTGGCGGTGGTGGTGGTGGCGGCGGTGGTGGTGGTGGTGGTGCTGCTGCTGCTGCCGATGCTGATGTCGGTGCATGTTGCTGGTGACCGCTGCAAACGGTGCTCGCAAAGGTTGTGACACGATCCAATGCAGTTGTTGAGGTTCTTGCTATTGTGTACGACATGGGGTATGGATGTGATCGACCGAGCGGCTGTTCGGAGCACTCGCAGCACACGAGCCACTCGCAAAGCATTGGCTGTGTTGAGAGTGTCTCCGCCCTGCCCGACCGCACTCAGAAGTGGAAAGACCTCAAGAAGATCGCATGTCCGATAGACGGTTGACAAACGCCGCAAGCTCACATCCATCGTTAGCAGGATGATAAAAGGAAACAAGTTTACGAATGCAATCCTGAGTCTAACACCAGCTCATGCTCCTGCTTACAGCAAACGGGAGCTCTTTCCCAAGGTAGTGCGAGCCCTGCAAACCCAGCGCCTCAACCCTCCTCTTGCAAACGCAAGCACTGTAGTCGTCGAAACAATAATGCCAATGTCAAACATGGGTTGTCGAGCTTGCATCAAAGAGCCCATGTCTCGACGTTCATAAGCACGACCAGCGCAAAGTCGAAGGAGAACCACGCGTCTTTCAGTGCTTGGCAGGTAGAAATATAGGTGGCATATCCTGAGCTTCAGATTTCTATGCTGATTACATACTTCACCTTGCTCCAAACCCATGCTACAACCTTAAGCCCGGTGTCTGCACGTCGACTCCTGACCTGCTACCAAGCATCTGATGACAAGCTCCACAGTGAAGAAGATGCAAAACAAGACTTCTGCTACAATGAAGATCGGGTCCGCTTCAGTAATCACCGTGTAGTCGCTGAATTCTGCGTTGATTGCCATTTCCACCTCGATAAAGACATTTCCAGTCAAGAGTTGGAGTGGCAAAGGGCCGCAACTCACTTCTGTTCTAGATGCTTTGGAAATGCTACAGCTTATGCTAGAAGCAGAACCACCCTCACCCATTGATCTCCAAGCCGACGCCTCTGCACCCCGAGCTCAGAACACTTGGGATGAGAAAGATTAGGTTCTGAACAGGGACGGCATTCAAGAAGATGACGGACAACGTCAGGCGCTCAAACCACGGGTTTCGGACGATCGTCAGGCAGCGGTTCCTAGGTCTGTGTTTCATCGCGAGGCCAAGCCGGATAGGGCAATTCGCAATCAACTACTGTTTTGCTGTCAAACCAGTATACAATGTCGGCTTACTATACTTCTGTGACTTTGCGACACTCCCACCGACAATTTCAATCGCTACATTCTAATTCCTAAACCCTAAAGCCCTATGTCTCACAACCTGAGTTGTAATAAGAGGAAAAGAATGTTGAAGGACACCCAAGTTCTCAGCTCTCATGCTGTCCACGCGATCCCACCTTAGCAGTGGTTAAGGTGCAGGGTTTGGGGGTTCTTAGGGTGTAGAGTTGGGAAGTAAACCTTCGGAATCTGCAGTCCCCAGACCTCTGTACATGTCCAAACCGTTGAGTCCTGGTCCTACGCCTGTCGAGTCACAGAACAATAAGCCCTCAGTTGCACTCCACGGAATCTTGAGAAACCTGTCCCTCATCTCCGTTTGATGCTGGTGCTGGAGGTGTTTGCGCCCGTGTTTACACACCTGCGAATCTCCGACACCGATAGCTTTTGCTTCTGCAATTGCACCGGGGGGAAAATAATTTCTAGGCATGCGATCAAGGGTCTGTTGTGCAATCAGTGCAGTATGACTCTACGTCGATCCTATGAGTGAACAGCCGCGATCTTAGTTGGGGCAGGGCACCCGGAGGCTACGCAATGACACGCGCATGCACAATTTTTAAACATTCGATGAGCGGATACCAACATCTATGGTAAAGTGTCTTATGATGGGTTCAGCACACGCGGAAAATGGCAAAGTAAACACGGGAACTCGCACCCTCACTTGGAATCCCAGGCTTAGGGTCAGGGTTTGCCTTCAGCCACAATATGCCAGAATTCAGATGCAAGAATCTCAGGAAGCAAGCCAAACCCATCGCGCAAACTGATCTGAGGGGGCCCTTTGTTTGCCCTTGAAGTGGGAGGTGCCAGCGGTAACTGCAGGGTCAACATCCAGTCAAGTCCAGGTGCTCGAGTCCCTCTTCGACATTCTTTCTGACTTGAGCCACCGAGTACCTCAGCGTCGCCGACAATCTCCCAAAGCAGTCAATTTAGTGCACCTCGTCGGTTGCAGGAGAAACATCGTCCAAGGCAGGCAAGATGAGGTCATGTGATCCTACTAACGTCAAGTTGCTTATGAATCATGGCACGTTGACACATTCACAGAACATAGGACTCCATCATGCTCATGGAGCACACAATTAAAGCTAGCGGTCCTCAAACTAAAGCAGCCGTCTGGAATCGTACAATGCATCTAGACTGCTGAGCATTGCTGAAGCCGTAGCCATAGGCGTCAAACGTAACGATGCTGTGCGGGCCAGCTGCTCATTGTGGTACTTGCCGAAGAGACCAACAGATCTTTGGCCTTCCTTTTCTGCCAGCTCCTGGCAACTTAGCGCAGACACCAGGTTTAAAAAAAAACCCTGCTTGGAAGCCCCTCTAGCGCTCCCAGGCTTGCCCTCGACTAGCCCATTGGGCGGTCTCACTCAACCCCAGATGCAGGTTTAATCTATTCATGTGGTGGCACGGCAGTCTATTCCTCAGAAACCCAGGCCAGTTTGCAACTTGCAGCTTCAGCTGGCGTCGGGTAGAAAACCGAAGGAGTTTTGGTCGTATCGCGAGTAGGGTCTGCAACATCTGCTTCCATCGTAAAAGGGTCCCTGTTGCAACCCTCGATCCATTTTTTGCTCGGCCTGACACCCATCATCATCACCACCATGGGCACCACGGCCATCATCATGCTCATTATGTTCGTCACCATCACCATCACCATCACCATCGACCGATACAGCAAACAATGTCAGCAGCAGCATTATCATCATGATAATCACCGTCACCACCATTTACATCTCGATTACTATCAACATGCAAAGGATTGTCATCCTGAACGTCGTCGTCACCAACACCGCTGACTATCAGCAACGGCATCACTAGCCTAATTAACATCATCCTATTTACAGTCTTCGCCAGCAGCAGCAGCTACCACCACCAAGCAGCAACCGTCAGCACCGTGAGAACAAAGCTAAACAGCTTTCGCACATCTGCGTATCCATTATCACAAAATGTCATCTGCTGATTCCCTTCAAGAAACGCCAGTTCTGCCGGCATTATTCGCATCCGATGGCTTGCTTCGGGATCCACCGAAAACCCATCGTGTTTTCTAAGGACACTTTTTTCGGCAGACTTCCGAGAGTATTTTATTCTACTTGCTACTTTGTCTGAGACATAATTAAGGCTGCTGGCTTGAATGTCTAGCAATTGGATGGTTTTGGGACCCTGGAATCTCTGCACATCACTCAAGCCAAACAAAAACAGGATTTCTTAACAACCCGCTTATGTGGGACGGCCCAGCCATCAGACTCTCCGGGTAACCCAGCACGCGGATATGACCGAAGCCGGACAGCAGCTACTGCTACTACGACAGGGAACACGCTTACGACTACAACTACGAACACGGCTTCTGCTACCGCTGCTGCTGCAGATGCTGCTGCTGC